GTAAGAATAAATGTAAAGTGCACACTAAATAATTAAAACAAACAACTTAGCTAACAAACAATAATAATAATAATAACAATAACAAACAATAAAAGAATGTGCAAATTTGCTTTCAAAGAAAATTAAGAAGAAATGTAAAATATGTTACACATGTCAAATAATCAATATATAATATGCTAAATAAACAAACAAATAAATAAAAATTAAGAACTATTTACATTCCACTCACTATCATCACATTAGCCTACATATTAGCTCCTACTGGTTTCCATTTACAGTGCAATCCTTCTGGCCTTCCTCGCTGCAAAGTCATCAATCACATCATCATGTGAAATCTGACCACCAAGCTCATGGTTAATACTGATTACAGCCAGACCACTGAGGCGTTCTTGAGCCATGGTTGACCTCAGGTATGTTTTCAAGAGTTTTAATTTGGAAAAACTCCTCTCGGCTGAAGATACTGTTACTGGTAGCGTTGCACTGATCCTCAGAGCAATACACAAGTTGGGATATATTTCGGTGAGCTGCTTTGTGTGTATGAATTTCAACAACTCAAGAGTTGTCATGCTCTTTGATGGCAAGTCAGGTACATTTTCCAACTCCTGAGCCAGCTCCTTCCCATACAAATCCGATTTCCCTCCATGGCTTAAGGTGTGTGCAACTGCCTCTGCTTGCTTCATCAGCTCTTGGTGTGGCAGGTCTGAGAAGTACAGAATGCCAAACTTGTCTTGCACATGTTTAAGAGTGGTAAACCTCTCCTTTTGTGCTGACACTGCAGCATCCACCACCACGTTAAGGAAGGTTACCTCCAGATTTTGCAAGGCATCCCTCAATGGCTCATCAGGAGACTAATATGAGAAGTGCCTCTTTGTTGACTTCAGCCGCTTTTGTTTCTTGTCAACTGATGCAGCAGGTGGTCCCAGATATTTTAAAAGTGAATCTAAAATGATATAACAAAATGTGTATTATCAACATTGAATAATTTCCATTTGTTAAATGTAGCTATTATTTAGTTAGTAAGCATTTGGACAGCCTGACAGGTCTGATTGAACTAATCAAGAGCTATGCCTATGTTATTAGAACAGTTGAACCAGGTGTGTTAGTTCTGGGTTGGAACTAAAACATTCAACAGGACTGGAGTTGAGAACCACTGAGCTAGTTAGCTAACGTTAGCGCACATTATGACAGGGTTGCATTTGGCAAATGTTTGACTCGAATAGTCAATGTGCTTTCTGAGGTAAACTTAACGTTAGCTAACGTTACCAACTAACTAACATTCCACCACACTGGCTAGCTCGCTACACCAAAACTAACATTGTTATTATTACTAATATTTATATTTCATGACACAACGAAAATAGCCTTATGACAGTTTCGACTGAATGACAAGCTAGCTAACGTTGGCTTGGCTAACTAGCAAGATTACATGATCCATTCGCTAATGTTGACAATACAATCAAAATTGCATACCTTTCACCTTGGCACGTTTCTCTTCTTCTTCTTTTCTTCTGTTTTTATACTGCGCCTCGGATGGCTTTTGCCTCTTCATAGTTCTCTAACGTTAGTCTTTCTTTCCTCAACGCTCAATTTTATAAACACTTGACCGATACCCATCAATGCACAGCGCTCTAGCATGTTCTGACTGTGAACACCTAAAGCCGAGGCTCTTAGACCGACCGACCGTTTTAGATTTTTGGCTTATTTCCCCTTATGTTAGAAAAAAAAAAAAAATTGTTGGTGCAATTTTTGGCGCCCCCCTCTGGGTGACGCTCTAGGCAATCGCCTGTATCGCCTGTAGGAAGCTCCGCCCCTGGTGATAAGAGATTACCGTGTACATGTGTAAATAGGTTCCAGGGTAGCTTAACGGTTAGCACCTGTCGATCAGCAGCAGCTGTGGTTTTTGCACAGCCTTTTCAGTTACATGTACCACGTTTAACGTGAGGTTTTTGTTTTCCCTTAATTATAACTCTGTATGATCTGTCAAACTCCCTTTTGGAGTCCTCCTTTGTTTGTTCATTAGTTAAGTCGGCGCCCTTTGGCCATTTTGTTTGTTTCAGGCTGCTTGCCTGCCATTTTGTTTCACCCTTTTACAATAAAGCCATTTATAATTATTACCAATTCCAATCTGGTGTATGTTGCTTTCCTCTCCCCCTAGTCGGGATGTAACAATTACCCTTCTGTGTATTTAGTTTTGTCCTCCCCTATGCTCCATGTCGGTTCGTTGTATTTTCTCACTCTCCATGTTTGTCACTTATCTCATGCTACCTGTTTATGATTCACACTTTTTTGTTCTTGTTTTTCATGCCAACAGCTTTATTTAAATAAAGCTCGCTTTTGTTTTGAAACCCGCTTCCCTTTTTAACTGCATTTGGGTCCTACCTTTTCCCGAATCCTGACAGAAGTAATACCAGTGCCACGTTCATTGATAAAATGACATAAGGGATGGAAAGGGGGGATGGCAGTTTTTATTTCAGGGGGGATGCCATCCCCCCTCAACTTGAGTACTGTTGGTAGCAAGTCCTGCTGTGCTTTCATGTTAGGGTGCTGGGTATAAGTGATATGCCTCTGTTTATTCCACCATTAATAATGTTTGTTTGCTCAGCAGCACTGTTGCTGTTGTCCGACACTGTTGGCAGCGTTAGCAGCAACCATCGCACTGATACAATCCCTCATTCATAGATATACTCTGAACTCTCTAGAAAAAACGTACATTAGTTAAGTATCCCTAAAAAAATACATCCATACTAGAAGATTCTTGAGGTGCTAACGTTGAATGTCAATGCAGGATGAATTTCACCCTTTATGTAGCTGAAATCAAGTGTGGTCAGAGTGTATAGTAGTATGTCTTGCTTAAATGAAGGCGACAGGCCTGTAATTCATATGTTTTGTTTTCATCATGCATAAAAAAGTTACCCCAACCTTGATAAAGTGTACTAATTGCCATAGTGCAAGAGTAATTTTTTGTATAACCATCATCGTATCCTAACCTTTACGAGAACTCTCGGCAGATGACTCCACAGACAGACTTTTCAATCAGACAGACACTGAGATGGAATGCTCACACTGACTTTGTGCCAAATGGATTGAACCTGTACATTTCACTCTGACTCACTCACTTTGGTGAATAAAGGCCAGGCTAATGAAATCAAGTCCACTGCTCACAGGAGCCATAAAACGTCTGCTTTTGTACCAGAGCTAATTATTCATCAGGGCTGTACTAAAGATTAGTGCGGATATATTTGAAGAAGCAAATCCTTTAAATGGCTCTTTTATTGTTCCTGCACTACCCCCCCACCCTCATTTCAGATACGGCACAGGCAAGCGCCCTTGTGAAATGACTCCAAGCCATTGTTCCTGTGTTATCCTGAAGACACGAAAGGCTAGTTAGTGCTGCCTTTGATAGAGATGCCCGGCACCATTTTAACATTTGTGTTATCAGCAAGACAGAGAATTACAGAGGCTGGGATGGGAATAAAGTCACTCGATCCTCTGTCTCCCTCACTTTCCAGGAGCAGAAAATAATAATGTGCAGGGATTGTAGGCTTATCTGTCTCTTTTGTGTCACCAAAAAGAAAAAACTTTTAAAACGGGGGACATCTCAATACACTGTGAATAAAATATGACACGTTCTGAATTGACTACTTACATCCCTTCAACACAATGGTTTATTTCTTTAAACAGTAGATTATAATACAAAGTTCATGACAATTAGTTCACCACTGATATAAAGAATAATAATGTTAATGCTGACGAATGGAAAGTCTGACTCAAATGTATGCTGAATATAGTGATTAAGTCTGAAAAACCTTTAATCAGCGCCCCTTGTTTGTAAACCCAGCTGTGCAATCTCAGGGCATTACAGTAAAATGAGATTGAGGAGCAATAGGTGGCTTTCTGTGAGCTGCTCACCACCTCTGATGCCCCCTACAGGGCAGAAGCCTCAACACCACGGAGACCTGCAGCTGTAAACCTCCAGTTATTGCATTCTATTGAGCTGAAACAGCAGAGAAGTGGAGCAGCAGTGTGCCAGGCTTAACCTCCTGAGGCCCGGTGACAGAAGCAGGGTCATGGAACTTCTACGCAGAACACTGTTTAAGTTTCAGTTCCCCTCACTGGAATTTCACAATGAGAGAAATATGAATTTCCTAGATCTCAGAATACTTTCATGTCACCTCTCCTGTTCATACATGCCAAGTCCAACAAATGCTTAATTTAAATAGCTGTCAACCCTGTTTGAATCCTTGTTATAACCAAATATAGGGAATTTTAAAAGTGTTTGTTTTTAGTAACTTCACTTCATGCACCTTTAATGCCACCCATGACAATATCTGCTCAAACTGACATATGCTGTCATTCAAGAGTGTGTGTGTATTTTTGGTTCAGGCTAAAGAGTGTGACAGACAGATTGTCCATACACCAACAGAGAAAAGCTTCTTTGTTCATGGAAACAACAGTGAGTGTCTCAAGGGCCCATATAGGCTCCTAACAAACCAGCCTATAGTACCTCTATGATATGTGTATGATATTTCGATAGGAAGCACAGTAGTCCCTTCAATAATCCTACAATGCTCCCAGGGACTTACAGGTTTACTTTGATGTTCCTGTTGCATCCTTAGAAAACGTATAGAAGTGATATTGTTTCCTCACCAGACAGATAAAGATAAGACACATTTTCGGAGTGATCAAACAATAAAACTGATCTCATTCAAGATGGCTCACAGGCTTAAAGACGCCATCACGTTAGTCTATATTCTGTCTTCTAATGTGACTTTCTGATGTAAAGGCTACAGGCTGAGAGAGAGAGGCAGCTGGGTAAAATCTGCATCTCGATTGCAGACACCCCTTCCACACACTTCAACACACACACACACACACACACACACACACACACACACACACACACACACACACACACACACACACACACACGAAGACGATCACGATCACGCACGCACGCGTACTCATCTCTCGTAAAGGGGCGTGTGGGTCTGGCAGGGACTCAAACCCTCTGCATTTGCATCAGCGGAGGAGCCGAGAGCGGTGGCGTACTGAGACACGGACCGGAAGAAAAACTTATATTAGATCAACCAGGACTTTTCTGCATTATTCTTTAAATCCCTTTGACATTTCTGGAACTGCTTATTTTTCCCCTCACACTTGCCGGATTTCACACGTGACAGCGCTGAATGAAAGGCAGCGAGACAAGCGAAGAGAGCAGCGGGGAGTAGGCTAGTGTGCACGCGGAGAGGAGAGCGAGTCTCCGGGCATCGGCTGTGCGTATTTGCGCGCTGGGGACCTATATGACCGATTCCGACTGCGCTGTGGTTCTCCCCCGCTGTAAGAAATAAGGATTTTGGGGTGGAAATAACTTGACTTTCTCCTGTGGGGCTCTTGAGAAGATCTGCTGTCATTTTTGAACAGAATCGCAAGAAGCCTATCGGATCACTCTGCTCCACGCATGTTGGAAGTGGTGAGAGGAGAGCCGGATGTCTGCGGGTTTGCGAGTCCTCAAGACGCAGGTGAATGCAGCTGTTTTTATTTCTCTTATGCATAGGGCTTAAGGAAATATCGCTGAGTTAGAATGCACTCAAACGAGCATGGACATTTAATAATTTTCTCAAACTGTTTTAGGAACTTGACTCTATTGTTTAACAACCCTTTATTTTTTGGTTTTAGAATATTCCAATTACAACATATTTATATCAAAACTATGTTGTTATGTATCGCTATGCAATATATTAACGCAGGATTGTGCACTATGTACCGGTTGAGGTTTGTTGGATAAAGCCTGCTCTGTTCCTTTTTGTGCGGAGTGACCCAGTAAGGGCAGCCTTGAGTAAATGACTCGAGGCTTCTTTAATTTATGCTTTAATTGATTTCCCCTAAATTATAGAGTGCCAGTTTAATGGTGTCACTGTTGTGGGGCAGACAATCAGCGCATCTGGGTAGCTACTGGTGCATAAAAGAAACCCACAAGGTCTGAGAGGAAGAGAAAAACACTTTCTATTATTTAACTCCAGTGCAGAGACAAATTGGGCCTATAATAAGCACTGCAGTATGCTCCCATTTGAGCTGGAGGACCAGTGTTTTTGAAGGATTGGAAAACACAAAAGGGAACTTCTGTAGATTGCAGTGTATCACACAGAGTCCCAAGTGGAATTAAAGGAGGACATCCCGAGGAAACACCTAATGTATTTCCTATCATCTAGTTTTATAATCGTTCCAATAAATCTTATTTTAACATATTTTTGACACATGTATCATTTGTATTCAAGCCAAATAATGTTTTTATTGTTTCTGGAGGGAGTCCTGTTCTGTTACATCTCCTATTAATGTCTAGCTCGTTTTTGTTATAAGAGGAAAGAAAGAGAGAGGGAGGGAGGGAGAGAGAGAGTGAGTGAGTACAAGCGAGGGAGAGGAAGAAAGAGAGGGAGTCATGTCACTTAACGGACTGCTGGTACTCTGTGACTCAGTGTGCAGCTCCGCTTACATATAAAGACACTGGGCTTTTCTCACATAGGTTGGCTATTTGTAATCAAGCCAATCATCAACCCAGTCCACACTCTGAGCCTATAGAAGCGAAGTGGTCACAATTTTGGGGAAGGGGTGTATCCATGCTGTTATAGTCTTGTTTATATCAGTAACAGCGCGTTTAGACAGATCGGGTGAAATGTGCAGAGCGCAGCAGCAGAACGCATTCCTAACCTGCTCCCTTCTCTCTTTTCACTCCACAGCCGAGGATTACCTCCATCCAGGGCACACTTTAAAGGAGTAAGGACACAATAAAAAAAGGAGTGTGAAGTTTCTTCTTAAATCTTGGCTTCTTTGAAGAGGGTATGGCACGGTCGTTGCTGGAGAGAGGAGCGCAGCCGGCGCTGGAAATAGGAAACAGGAGCTGAATGACAGGATGCCAGCGACCTGAGTCCGCTCTCAACTTCGTTAAAAGAGACACTTCTGCTTTATTTTCTCCAGTTCAGAGAAGGAGAGAAGATACTTGCCAAAAAAAACCTGTTGGAGGAGTTTAATTTCGGAGTTTTTTTTGTATGCATAATTTTATTTTTGTGGAAAGGAAACAAGGATGCATTGTGGATTAGTCTTTATCCTGTTCATGGGAATCCTTTTGGTGGTCAAGGCTTTCAAAAACGGTAAGTGTGACATCTGATATATGTATAAATACAGCTTTTATGTACTCTACAAAGCCTCTAATCCCAATATTTTTCTAAAAGATTAGCCTTCTCTGATCTCCGCTGATCTTTTGGCAAACTCGCAAGCGCTCACGTGCCCATTCAGCCAACACCTTGGAAAATCTGGTTTATTGAATTGCAACATAGATTTAGACACTATTGCTCATACTGACTTTAAGAACATTATTTTAGCCTTGTTTAATTGTCTTGCCTACTTTTTTTTACATCAACTTTATTTTGATATTCCTGTCGATAACTGTTATACCTTGTTGCTGCGTTTTGATCTTCCCTGATAAATTCAAAATGTAACTTCATATATTTTCATTTGTATTAATGCTATACAGCGTTCGTTTAGGCTTGTAAACTTCATCGTAAACTGTTTTTAGAGCATAACATTAATCCCTTTCTGTGTGGCAATCGGTTACGGAGGTCTGTGTTTTGGTGGAGTTCAAAAAGTCAGCCCGAGTTACTGAACTTCCCAAGTTTTAGTATTCTTACAGCAGCAGTTTCGTTTCTAGCTTTGATTTTATACTCGTTTTATATTCGGATTAAATTGATTTTAAAGAGGCTGTGCTGAGCAGCAGGTGTGGAAAGCGTCAATGATTAAAGGATGAAAATGGGCGCGAATGAAGATAAATGTCAGTAGCGGGGCCTTAGAAAACAAAGGATAATCCTTTTTAATGTTGAAACTCACATGAGGTTTTAAGGAACAGATTCTTGTGACTTTTGGTTTTAGCGGAACAAAAACTTTTTTTCCAAAGCTTTTACAACTTTTTTTATGAATCGTGCATACATCCACCCAATGCTGTTCCTTAATACATTATATTTACATGTATATTTCACCTTAATATAACTTCATCAAGAACGGCAGAGCAAGAAATAAAATATATACTTTATAAGAGCTCATCATATTCAATGTGATTACCCAATATTATTATTATTAATAATGAGTAATACAAAACATACTTTCAACCAATCAAGCTCTGAACATTTACCATGAGTTTGTCAAATGAAACACTTGTGAAAGATAGATAGATAGATAGATGGATGGATGGATGGATTTTCTATCTGTAAACTGCTATGAAATCATTGTAAAAATGGCTAGATAGGCTATAGCTTAAAAACAGCAGCAATGTGGAATATGTTTTTCTTTCTATAATTGAGCTCACTTTGGTGTCCTCTGCAGATAAATGTGGAGACAACATCAGAATCTCAACGGCCAACTACCTCACCTCGCCCGGATACCCCCTCGCGTATCCCCCTTCACAGAGATGTGTGTGGGTGATATCGGCGCCTGGTCCTCACCAGCGGATCCTCATCAACTTCAATCCGCATTTCGATCTGGAGGATAGGGAGTGCAAGTAAGTAAACCGTGATCTTCTCTATGAAAAATAGATGTGCTTTTGGTACCAAAGAAACTAAATCTTTCAATCTGATTCTGTCCCCTGGGCAACAATCCGATCTAGTCAGTTGGTTATAAAGATGGATAAATTGAAACGTCTCTGAAAATACTCTTTATGGTTTTATCTCGTGAATATGGGTGGATTAAATAACAGTTTTAGTGTAATTAAACTGTCTCAGAGCTTTTTTAAGTGCCCATTTGGCCCCCATACTACACTATGGGAGCCACTACACCATTAGACCCCGTGTAAAAGCTGCTCGCACATACATATATACCTATAGATTCATATTTGTGTTTATAGCATGAACACATGAGGGATCCTTGTACGTATGTGACACTCTTCCCCCCTTTCCCCTCATGCATATTGCACATGAAACTGCGCCCTCTAGTGTCCACAGGATTGCTGAAATTGTCAATGTGCTCTGGCTCACAGGGCAACAGGAATTTCTTGCCCCTGCCATTTGGTTTTGGAATGTCCTCGCTTCTTGCGTCCTTGTGGAATGAAGTCACTTGGGTATTTTATTGATTTGTATTGGAGTACTTTTGCAGAAGCAATGAGGGAGAGTCGTTGGTCCAAAAGCTCACCATGGAGCCATTGAGTGTGGTTTACTTTATGCACTCCAATAAAAAAATATCCATCTTAATGAGCCAACTCTCCCAACAAAGTGAGAAAATCTCCAAAAGATTAAAAAACAAACACGTTTTAGCTCTTTTTAATCAGGCACTTAAATAGACGGGGTAAGGGTTAGGTGACTCATGTGTTTTCTTTTCATTAGATTTAAAACACCAAACTATGTTTTGAAGGTGAATTTCTCAGTGACAGTCAGTTACTGATCCTTATTTGACTTGTAAGCCGTGAGCTGTCGCATCCAACAAAAAGGCTAAGCGGCTAACCTGTTGTCAAATAGATAGTTTAAGCCGATGAAACAGGAGACAGACAGTAATGTGATGAGCCAGTGTCAGTGTGGGTGCCCTGAGGTGAGCGTTGCCTGGGCAGACTGCCTCGCTCTGATTGCCTGTCTTTGTGTGTGTGTGTGTGTGTGTGTGTGTGTGTGTGTGTGTGTGTGTGTGTGTGTGTGTGTGTGTGTGTGTGTGTGTGTGTGTGTGTGTGTGTGTGTGTGTGTGTGTGTGTGTGTGTGTGTGTGTGTGTGTGTGTGTGTGTGTGTGTGTGTGTGTGTGTGTGTGTGTGTGTGTGTGTGTGTGTGTGTGTGTGTGTGTGTGTGTGTGTGTGTGTGTGTGTGTGTGTGTGTGTGTGTGTGTGTGTGTGTGTGTGTGTGTGTGTGTGTGTGTGTGTGTGTGTGTGTGTGTGGTTTTGGTGCCTGTGTCGGTGCCTCTGCCCTGCTCTGTCCCAGCTGTTTGTTTACGCTGCAGGGCTCGGGAGAGTACAGGGCTTTGCTGGATCCTGTTACTGTATCCTCACTCCACCCAAAACCTGGACCCTACGCTCCTTTTGTGCTCCTTCAACAGCCCCCCATATGGCTAGGTTTTCTAATCCGTGATTTCAATCCCACTTTAACCTTTCTTTACTGCTGTCAAAGATTTACGGCTGAAAGGCGCTGTCTGTGTCTCCTTGACACTTCTTTTGGGTTCCGATTTCATCACCAGAGGGACTATTAAACTGTCCGAGATCCTCAGTTATAAAGAGAGAGGGAGGACGGGACAGCAGGAGGGGGGTTAGCAGTAACAATGCTCATGCTAATCAAATTAGTCAGGAATGAATTTCCTGTTTCTAAACACACGCACGGAAGAATTTAGTCCCTTCAGGCTCAAAGAAGGCTTTTTTTACAATTTGAAAGGAAGGCAGGCTGTGAGTTAAGTGATCCACCCATGTATCAGTTACAAGTTAGCTCTGCGCTTTCATTTAGCTGCCACTGAATTTTCTCATTGCCAGCTTGTTGTTAAATATGTTAGCAGATGGAGTTTGTGTCGTTGATGTGTTAGCGTCTGTGAGCCGCTCTCTTCTCCCTGCTATTTCCTTATGCATTACATTTGGAGCAGACACAACCAATGTAATACCAATACTGTGGTCAGAAGGTTATAAACCGCTTGTCTAGAGGAAACCATAACAAAATGCTGGGGCAGACGTCTGCAACTTAAGTAACTCTCCGATTCATGTGGGTCACTCAGAGATTGCACCGGAAAACAGAGTTGCCCTGACCTACTGTTTTTTCCTATTTTTAACTCGGTGAAGTGTTTCATATTTAATGATTTTAATGGAGTGGTTTTTCATGGAACTTTGGTTCCACTTCAAAATGTATTCCACCTTGTGTGGCTTCAGCAAGGACAAGTCATGAAGTTAAACTTATTTTCCTTTTTTAATTCTTCCTCCTGAATTGTAAATTACCGCACTATGTAAAACGAGACTGGGTTATTGTGCTAATCGACATGTCATAGGTAACTCGATTATGGGAGGGGGGAATAGTTCCTTATGCATCTGTAGACAGTAGTTGGGTGTGATTTGTGTTGGACCCATCAGACTCAGTGTCGCAGCTCCACTCACCAAATCAGCCCTTACATAATGGAAACTGATGAGAGCCAGAATGGCTTCCTTATCTGATGGACCGGCAGAGTGGGCGGAGAAGGTGGGGGTCACAATGCATGCTTCAGTGCACTGCCTTGCAATCTAATTAGTGGGCAAATGGAACAAATATGCACCACATGTTCCTCTACATGGCTCTTATCAGCAAACCAAACAAGAAGCACTCAAAGTGGTGCTCGTAAAAAGAAAAACAGCCTTTTACTGAGTCGGGCCTAGGTGGTGTTGTTGCACGTGTGTGCTACCCTTGACAGGTTTGTTTGGGGATGTGCAGGAGCCTGTATCCTGAGAGCTGGGGGAGGAAAACACTTCATCACAAAGATAAGGGGACTAAGTGAGCCCTGCGATTCTGAATGCAGAACGTGTTTACCTTTCATGCACCGTTGTAGACTTTCACAGAGTGGAGTTTCGGGGGCGGCCTTGCGCTCTCACAGCTAATGGAGTTTGAGGCGAAGGCATAGCCCGCATCAAGGCAAATATTTGAAGTCAATTCGCTCTGAAAATAAGTAGAATGAGCAAGCAAGTGAAAAAAGAAGTAAATAGATATGCTTTTGCTCTGCTCTCCCCCCGCCTTTTGTTTCTCGGTGATCCGATAAGGGCTGTCAGGCTTGTCTGACTGTGCCATCTGAAGGGAAAATGGAGGTTTCAGTTGATTTGAATCTAAACAAGTGACGGGCAGGATTGACGTCAGGCACACTGGAGGGCAATTTATCTAAGATCTTTCTGTGAAATTTGAGAAATGTTTGAACATACTTAAACAAGCACCTGGTGCATCTTTTATCCTGGGCTGCAGGCTGTTCTCTCCATGCTGACTGGAGGAGAAACAACATTCTGTAGATATGATGTACCCCTGACAACATCATGAATCATTGATAGCATCGGATTTGCTGACCAAACCAAAAAACTGTTCTTCAGCACACTGAGATTCCTTGCAGTCAGTCAAGGCGGCACCGTTTGTTTTTGGAGGAGCAGAGGAGAGAGGGTAAAAACTAAAGGGAGAGAGGGACTGTCTCCTCTTGCTTAGCACTCCCTAATTTCTTTGCTTTTCTCTCTGTCTGGATGGTATTTTTCTGGACCTCTGGAAATTCCAGTGTGTGCAGTAGATGGAAGGGGGGGATGAGATGTATGGATGGCTGGTACTAGGCACCGGAGATATTTGAGGAATGCCTTCTCTAGCAGCCCCTTCGTGGGGGAGATCGATGGGAAAGTCGGCGAAAGCCTCCCACCTCTCCACGCTTCAAAAGTCTTCGAGCCCCCCTGCCTTCAGGTGGCTGTAACTCAAAGCTTGGAAAAGCACTATTTCCCCTCTTTTAATTGTAGTCCTTCTGCCCCTTCCACACCAATCTCCCACTGAGCTGCCCCTGTGGAGCTGCTTGGCCTGCTGGGAAGGCAAACATTCTCTGCTGTGCACCCTCTACAATAGACATCCTGCCCCTCCTGGCATTCCTGACCAAGCCTGATATGACTAACAGCAGCTTGGGAAGGGGGAGCAGGGGTATAACCCTACGCTGGATCTAAAGTCGGCTCTCTCTTTGTTATGTGGAATCCCACTCATATGGTCATAGAGTCCAACAAAGAGTGCCACCTGTCTCTAGGAAGTGAGAGTGGAGGACAGAAGGGGCTTTTGGGGAAAGATACTCTCGGCCACTTTCCCTAATTCTCCTGTTACCCTGCCACCTGAAAAGCATGGTGCAAGCTTCAAAGCTGGCTAAGGAAAGAGCAGTAACTCCTAACTTAATCTGAAACCTTCTCCTCTCTCACGCTCCTCTGCAAGGCGACAAATAAGGAGAAGCGGTTCTGTGTGACCGTGTATCAGCCGTTGTCATGGAGGAAAATAAATAAGGCAGGAACGCAACATGAGCCTTTTCTTAACAGGCCTGTAGCGGTGGAGGCTTTTAAAGAAGGGAAGTGCTGTGACCTCTGTGGCTGAGGGTGCGGGGCTCTGGAGTGACATGGATTGTTGGAGATAGTTATGGCCTGTTAGCGAACATTTATTTCGGTTGTCTTCTTTTCATAGTACATGTCAGGGAAGAATCCATGCCGGTGGAGTTCAAAGCAGCGCTGCAAAATAGGCACAGCAAAATAAGCATTGCGTAGGGAGACGCAGCTTCACTTAACTACCAGGTTTGACAAAAGCAGCCGAAGATTATGCACCTGGTACTTTCTGAAGCGATAGACTCCAACAGTTCATTACAATGGAAATCAAATTACACCTGAAATTACATTGAAACAGTTTACTTTGAAAGACTAGCTTGACAGCAGCGCATCAAATCGCAATCCACTTTGAATATATCTTGTTTGCACTTCACGGCAATTATACCAAACCTTATTTTGTCAGCATGGTAAAACTTCAAGAGACAAGCACTTTGCATTTTAAATGTCTGTTTACAATACATTTTACATTTTTCTACCTGCGAAACGTT